CTGGATTTCCATGCATTTGAATGATATTATTGGCTGTGGAGACCCTGCTCTTTCATTGGATCAGTCCGGAGAAGTAGGCGGCACCTTGCTGAGAGAAGAGACCTATGTGCTCGTTTTGCTCAGTACCACTGCACTCAAGATAATGCTCAGTTATAGGAATGGATATTTCTGGATCATTTGCCAGAAAGATGCTAAGCAGCATCTCATTTCCCCTGATTATTGCTTCTAGGTGAGAATAAAAGCTTCAGAAGCACCCAGGGTCAAAGGAGTAAGCAGGAGAGGCTTGCAGAAATGTGTGAATGGGCGCTCAGGACGGCACGTCTGTCACCCTGCGGAGAGCCCGCCCCTTCCTGTCACGTGGGTGTCAGTCAGGCACGTCTGTCAGCCTGCCGAGAGCCCGCCCCTTCCTGTCACGTGGGTGTCAGTCAGGCACGTCTGTCAGCCTGCCGAGAGCACGCCCCTTCCTGTCACATGGGTCTGACCCCTCTCGATCTGCAAAACTGGAATTTCAAAGCAATGCTGGCTGCAGGTTGTTCTGCCTGGAAGGTTAACGGTGGAGTGATTCAGCCGATACTCACCTGGCTTTTGACTTGTTTGCCGTCCTGCGTCGGCAGCCAGTGCCTGGAGCGCCCAGCTTGGGGTCAGGGGCTGCTCCCCATGCAGGTAGGAGCGATGCTGAGGACTGAGCTGCAGTTGCAGATGGAAATTCCATCTCATCTCCTTCCCGATCTGCATGCATAATGACTACAGCATCAGAAGAGTGATAAATCTTCAAGGCCCCAGAATTTCAGCCCATAACAGATTCTTCTCCGATTAGACCAGAGGTGTCTATACAGCGGCCATCCTTCTTCGGCGTGTGCACCGTGCTCCTTGTCAGCTCTGCGTGTTTAATTACCCCGAGGGGCTGCTCTCTGCCGCTGTCCACACCAACGCCAAACAGACCGTGACATTTACAGCCCCACTTCAGTTAGAGTGTTCTCCTGTCAGGTGTCACATCGCGCTGCGTCTGCTGGGAATATGACATTGCTGCTGGTTTCGGCGACGCGGGGTGAGGCTGGCGCTCAGAGAGTCTGCCAGCGTGGCATCCTCGTCAGTGTCTTCCATCCTGCTGGCATTCTGGCCCCCTGGCCAGTGACTGACAGCGTAACTGGTCCCGTTACCCTGAGCAGGCCGTTCTTAGCTTTTTCTAAATCATCGGTTCTCAACCGGTGGGTCGTGACCCATAAATGGGCTGTGTAACCATCTTCACTGGGTCACGAAAACAAATTATTTTGAATTTTTTTTATGATGTCGGACTTCTTTGGCCACAAATGATGTGCAGTGTCGTCCCAGAAATACATATTTTTTGTATTATTACCAGCGCGCACACCCCTCCCCCCTGTTTTTTGTGAAATATATAAATAGACATAAACGAAAAACTTTTGTTATGACTTAATGATTGAATAATAATATGCGTCCTGAAGCTAAACCAGAATCACAGTTTTCCTGAGTTTGTAGCCTGGGGTGGTTAAGTAACTGAATTTTAAGGCGCTCAGTCACAAAACCCGGTACGTTTCTGAATGTGTGCTTGCTTAATAGACCAGTGCAGGGGCGCTACAGCCAATTAGCTTAGCACTGTTAGCTTAGCGGAGGGGTAAGACACGCCATTTTGGTTCGTGTCTTTGACGGGAGCTGCCATCCTGGCCTCAGGAGCTGCTAACAGCCAGAAGCTGAATCACGGCGGCTGCCAATGGGGGGCCACACCGCGCAGTTCGTCCAATCCCGCCCTAATACATGGCAAACGGCTGCCAATCGGGGGCCACACCGCGCAGTTCGTCCAATCCCGCCCTAATACATGGCAAACGGCTGCCAATGGGGGGCCACACCGCGCAGTTCGTCCAATCCCGCCCTAATACATGGCAAACGGCTGCCAATCGGGGGCCACACCGCGCAGTTCGTCCAATCCCGCCCTAATACATGGCAAA